TGCTGGGGGGGTTTTCCATCCCCCCCCCCCCTCCCCCCCTGTACTACGTTCCTACCTAAAACGTTCAGCCCTAGAACTCTCGTGTATGTATCTCTGATAAGAGGAACAATTCTTGACATTCTCTAAAAAATTCATCAAAAACATGGCGATCGTCTTTCATTTTGGGGGAGGGGGGGATTAGTACCGGGGGGTCTGGGGGGTATGGAATACCCCCCAGGAAACGAAAAGTGTGATGACCCTCCTTTGAAAATGTCATCATAGTTTCCAGGACAAGGTAATCGATTCCTTCTGTGTGCTGGGGGGTATTCTATACTCCCCCAGACCGCCTGGTACTACGTCCCTACCCAAAACGTTCAGCCCTAGAACTTTCGTGTGTTCCTTCCAGAAAAGGAAAAATTCTTGACATTCTCTAAAAATTCATCAAAAACATGGCGATCGTCCTTCATTTGGGGGGGGGGGATTGTACCGGGGGGTCTGGGGGGTATGGAATACCCCAGAAACGAAAAGTGTGATGACCCTCTTTTGAAAATGTCATCATAGTTTCCAGGACAAGGTAATCGATTCCTTTTGTGTGCTGGGGGGTATTCTATACCCCCCCAGACCCCCCGATACTACGTCCCTACCCACAAAGTTCAGCCCTAGAACTTTCGTGTATTTATCTTCCAGAAAAGGAAAAATTCTTGACATTCTCTAAAAATTCATCAAAAACATGGCGATCATCCTTCATTTTGGGGGGGATTAGTACCGGGGGGTCTGGGGGGTATGGAATACCTCCCAGGAAACGAAAAGTGTGATGACCCTCTTTTGAAATGCCATCATAGTTTCCAGGACAAGGTAATCGATTCCTTCTGTGTGCTGGGGGGTATTCTATACCCCCCCCAGACCGCCTGGTACTACGTCCCTACCCACAACGTTCAGCCCTAGAACTTTCGTGTGTTTATCTTCCAGAAAAGGAAAAATTCTTGACATTCTCTAAAAATTCATCAAAAACATGGCGATCGATAAAAACATGGGGTGGGTTAGTAGCCGGGGGGTCTGGGGGGTTTCTTCAAGTACTATGTTTTCTTTATTCAATTTTTGTGTGAAAAGAGTTTTTTGATATTTTATATTCTCCTGATACAAATTTGAAATGATTCTATTGTTGTCATAGGAATGTAAAAAGGTAACCGAAGGGGTGTAGGAAATAATTTATTATCCAACGGCTTCTCAAACATTGTTGTATCAGGATCACAAGAACATGTAGGGGTGTGAGGAAATCTAAGAACCTAAGTATTGTTATCCTGATACAAATCTTTTCGAAAATCAATACGTCATAATACCAGAATCTAAGATTTAATTAAAAATAACACTTTCTGACGTTTGGTTCTCCTGATATTGTTTAGAAAAGATTATTATGTGATTTAATGTTGTCTATTTCATACATTCTGTTCTCCTGATTACGGCGGTAGATGGTAGCTGCGGATTAACCGAAATTAATTACCTCCCGCAAACAATTTATCAAAAACGGGCGAAAAGAACAATTCATTGTCCCTCCGAAACATTCATCGGGGAGACATTGAAAAGTTTCATAAGAATAATTAAGTCCCCCCCCCCCCCCGCCACGCACTTGCGGCTAATGAAATTTTTATTAAATCCGGCAGGAAGCCTATAATTTTCTTTGCTTGTTACACACTGACGACCGAAATTACCTGCAATACAAAATCCCTCCCGAATTTGGCGCTTTAATTAAAGGGTAAACTTTGGAGGCTTTACGCGACGTCTCATCCAATTTACGTTCAACAAATTTGAAAAGAAAACTTCGCCCTCGCCGCACCTGTTCTGGGCGCGTCCCCCGATTTAGACGACGGTATCGTGGGGTCGTTTACGATTACGCAACTAACGCGCGCTTTAATTTCAGGATACCTCGCCGTGGAGATCGACGTGCAACCGAAAGAAATCCTCGCACTTCCACATCAGAATGTGTCGTTTATGTGTCGTGTGGCCGATCACCTCCAGTACTGCAGGATGGAGGTGCCCGGTCTCAATGTACTCAACTTGAATCCGAACCAGACGCCCTACAGGGGGGTAAGTATCGAAATGCCGGAGTGACTTTAGCTTGATGCCTCCTCTTTCAGGCGGTCTACTATGGCAGCGGCCTGCACTTGGGGCAGTGCGGTCTGAGTCTCGAGAGCGTAAACGAGGAGAACAACGGCGAGATCAAGTGCACGCTCGGCTTACTCACCGAATCGCAGGAGTCCTCGGCAACGATGCGCCTAATAGTCGCAAGTAAGTCGCGATTTTCTCACGCCGAAGAGTTCTAAATGGAATTTTTAGGGGAGCCCCGACCGCCTCAGCTTGAGATACAAAATTCGGATCGTTACTGGGCGTATAAGGTCGGAGACGTCATTCACGCGACGTGCATAGTCCGTGACGGGCGACCGGCCGCCAACATCTCCTGGTACTTAGGTAAGGGTAAAGACTTCGTCTGGCGATCTGTACCGATCTCGTTTGCAGATGACGAGCTGATACCGAACGGTTTTCTCTCGCCGCCGACGATTATACACGGCAACCGGGGCGATCTGCAGACCGTTTTCCAGAATCTGACGAAGGAGGTGCGCCCGTCGGACAATGGAAAGGCGCTAAAGTGCGTCGCGCATCATCCTGCACTGACCAGCAATAACGTTGTGTATCGACAATTGAATGTGACGTGTAAGTACGCTTTCTGCTCTCCTGATAGTTATTTCTTGTAGCGGCCAGTCGGAGCTTCTTGCACTTTTAGTCTCTTGATTAATTCTTCTTATCACGAGACTGAGATCAGGTTTCTGTAACAATGAATTTATTGGTTCTGCGATCCTGGTACATTAATTTGTTATAAAGACAGTCTTCGTGGGCCTTTAGCCTTCTAAATTACCAAATACTTAAATTATGTAAAATAAATTTTCGTTCTCTGCACCCGATACCAGCTCTTCATTAGTGTGGAATATCTCCAAATCTCTGACGCTCCCTCCAAAATGCTCAGAACCAATTACACGGTCTTAAAACAATTTCCGAAAAAGGGATTTTCTATTTTTTCCGAATTCCGAACTCCTCTCCAGAGCTTCTTGGACTTCTAGACTCCCGGAAGAAACTGAGATGCGGTTTATATAAAATGCTGTGCTCCTAATATATTTGTTTTTTGAGAGTGGGGGAATGGTCTAAATAAGAAATGACATTTGTTTTTTTAATTAGTAAAGACGCAAGAACGGTTTTGTCAACGCGCGTACTACTTCTATGATTTCTGGTGTCCTAATAGAGACAATTTTCAAGCCTGGTTTGATATTCCGTTCTGTTCTCCTAATTCAGTTAGTCTGATTCAAAAGGGACACTACTCCTTGTCTCTTGTCGAGGAAACCTGGCTCAGTTTAGCCACAGTTTTCTAAACTACCAGGAGAACAAAATCGATCTCTGTGCTCTAGAAAAATGTTCCAATGCTTTATTTTCACTTAAATCTCCTAAACTACTATTAGAGGAGGTTTTTGTTTCTTAATACACAGAGAATCGTAAAGAATTCTCTGGCTACCAGGAGAACATAATAGACACTCAAAAAAACTCTTTTTCTAGACGCGCCCATTCCGCAGCTAAATCCAATCGACAAGTTCGGCTACAGTCTCGGCAAAGAAGGCATCATCTCACTGGTGATCGAGGCGAACCCCCGGCCGCACCTCGAGTGGACGATACGCGACCAAACGATCAAGGCGGGCGGTCACGACAGCACCGGCCGCATAATGGCCGAGGAAATACGCGACCTGGTCAGTACCTTCCGCTCGGTTCCGCCTCTGTTCAACTCTGTTTTCAGGGACGGGGCCTGTACGAGGCGGTCCTGATCATCGCCGACATTCAAAAGCACGACACCGAAACGCAGTACATACTCAAGGTCTACAACGACATGGGAAGTCAGGATTACGTCATCTTAATTTCGACCAGTCCCGAGCCGGAAGGTAAGTCGAGGAGTTTTGCGCGTGCGCAATGAACAAAGTGCGTTTTTGCAGGGTTTAAAAAGTTTTTTAGGGAAAGTATTAATTGTAAGTACCCGTCGGCGAGCGCATGTCGGTAGATTTAGTGCATGAAGTTGTTACGATCAAAGCTTTCGAATTTTTGATAATAGAGAAGGTCTTACACCTTCTGTGCTCCTGATGCTACTTTAAAAAGTATTCTCGCTTCATTTTGTGAATGTTTTGTTACAGTGTGGTATCAATTAGAAACTTCCTTGAGGTAGTAGGAGAGTAAAATGCATTAGATGCTGCCCGTTTGATGTCTTGTTTATGTAAACTAAGGGTTCTGTACTCCTGATACTTCTTACATTTAAAGCATTAAATAATTCCTTAGCAGTTAATAAGCTGCTGATCTCCTGTTACTATTCTATATTAGTCGTGGATTTATCACAGCCCTTGGTGGCAGCTGTTAAAGCCAGTACACTCTTCTGTGCTATTCTCCTGGTATTTGTGTTGATTCCCTAAACCCTTATTAGGTGCTCGTTAGATCTATGATTCAATATCATTGACCTAGTCCTAGTGTTTCTGATACTTGTTAATTAAGAGATGGAGGCAAGTGCACTATTAGGGAAACATAAGCAGTTGACATTATTTTGTGACATTTTTCCAGCCTCCTTTCCGTCTTCTGCTGCTGTTCTTGCCTTTCCCAAATTCCTCAAGATTTCATGCTTGCTTTATTCCAGATCTTCACGATTTCACTCCTCCTCCCGTCGCCCCTTTCGTGCCCTTTTAACGACCTTTTTCTTTAATCTTTTTCGACCTCATTTGCGTCCTTCTGTACGCCTCCTTCACTGTCTTTTCCTGATTTCTTCACGATTTTGACCGCATCTTCGCGTCTTGTTTACACTTCTCTTACGTCCGCTTTGCGTATATGATTTTTGTATCTTTTCTTCCTTTTTTCGCGCCCATTTTAAACTTCCTTTACGTGATGCCTTTTGCGTACTTCCTTCTCGCCCCCTTCATCTCGACTAGCGATGCAACAGACCTCTGCTTCCGTTTCGGCAAGTGCGGAAGTTCTGCATATTTTTCACTTCCCTTTCCGCATAGCTTTGGCTTCATCGGCTGCGCCGCTTCGCCTCGTCCTGTTAATTCCCTTTGGAAGTGACGTTTTAATTTCGATAACTGCCGCAGTTTCAGGACGAGGCAAGGCGGCGAAACCGAAGTTGTGTTCCTTATTATATTAAAAAGACTTCAATAGGGACATAGCTTCGGGCGTCGATTCATCCTGTTATTTGCCTACGGAAGTGACGTTTTAGTTTCGACAACTTTGCCAGCGAGAGGCGAGGCGGCGCAACTGTAAAAGGAATACAATTAGGGACATAGCTTCGGCTTCGGCAGCTGGGCCGCCTCGCCTCGCTCTGTAAATTCTCTTAGGAAAGAACGTTTTAGTTTTGAAAACTTTCTCGTAGCAACAGGGCGAGGCGAGGCGGCGTTAGCCGCCGAAGCCGAAGCTATGTCCTTTATTGTACTAAAAAGAATACAATAGGGAACGTAGCTTCGGCTTCGGCGGCTGGGCCGCCTCGCCTCGCCCTGTAAATTCCCTTTGGAAAGAACGTTTTAGTTTTGACAAATTTCCCGCAGCAACAGGGCGAGGCGAGGCGGCGACAGCCGCCGATGGCGAAGCTATGTCCTTTACTGTACTAAAAAGAATACAATAGGGAACATAGCTTCGGCTTCGGAGCCGCCTCGCCTCGCCCTTTTACTATAGCAAAGTGGTTAAAATTAAATTCCAAAGGGAATTAATAGGGCGAGGCGAGGCGGCTGAATCCGAAACGTCCATTAATGTATTAAAAAGAATACAATTGGGGACATAGCTTCGGCTTCGGCGGCCTCGCCTCGCCCTGTAAATTCCCTTCGGAAAGAACGTTTTAGTTTTGACAACTTTCCCGCAGCAACAGGGCGAGGCGAGGCGGCGATAGCCGCCGAAGCCGAAGCTATGTCCTTTATTGTACTAAAAAGAATACAATAGGGAACATAGCTTCGGTTTCGGCGGCTGCGCCGCCTCGCCTCGCCCTTTTACTATAGCAAAGTGGTTAAAATTAAATTCCAAAGGGAATTAATAGGGCGAGGGGAGCCGGCCGAATCCGAAACGTCCATTAAGGGGGCATAGCTTCGGCTTCGGCGGTTGGGCCGCCTCGCCTCGCCCTATAAATTCCCTTTGGAAAGAACGTTTTAGTTTTGACAAATTTCCCGCAGCAACAGGGCGAGGCGAGGCGGCGACAGCCACCGATGCCGAAGCTATGTCCTTTACTGTACTAAAAAGAATACAATAGGGAACATAGCTTCGGCTTCGGCGGCTGCGCCGCCTCGCCTCGCCCTTTTACTATAGCAAAGTGGTTAAAATTAAATTCCAAAGGGAATTAATAGGGCGATAAGATTATTGCGCAGAAGGGAGGGGGTGAAAAACCCCCAGCAAAGAAGATCAAAACTTCCTTTTCTTGAAAATTCTTTTAAAACCATAATGGGTTTGGATCTTCTATTTTCTTCATTTTGTTCTTCTCTTCTGTTTTCTTCACGTCTTCTTTAAGACTCTTTCGTCTACGATTATCTTGCTTCTCCTTTTCATTCTCTTGGTCTTTTCCGTGTTTTTCTCTTGCCTCAGTTTTGCCTTGTGCTTTATTTTTTTGCGTCTTCGTCTTCATCACAATTTTTTTTATTGAACCAACCTCATCTTTCTCCACGTCTTCTTTAACCCTCCTTCACAGATCTGTACCGTATTCTTCTGTGTGTTCTCTTTCATGTTCTTCTTCGCGCGTTTTCTCACTTTTCTGAATATTCTTTCGGTCGTCTTTTTCGCTCCTTCTGCTCTCATTCAACTTTTATCCTCTTCCACACTTCCTTCATTAATTTCGCACGTGATTTTTTTCACGATCTTTCTCTCCTTCCTCACGGTTCCTCCCTCCTTGTTTACTCCCTTGATCTACATAACGTCTTCCCTTTTACCAATGTCTATACATTTTGCCGCCTCTTCGTTTCGTTTTATTCATCTTGACTTTACATTAGTGATGCAACAGAAGTGTTTTAACGGAAGCAGAATCGGACAACGTATTTTTTTGCGACAGCGGAAGTGTAAAATACTATTATAAATCTGGAAGGAATGAAAGTAAACAAAGGCTAACAGGTCGCAATACGTCTGACGGCCTGCTCGACTAACAAACCCCCCACGACTCACGTCACGGACTATCCCGATCGGTCAATCAGAGCCCGCAGCTCACATTGCCATATTTGAAACCTTCCGCTATCAAATAGCGGAATCGGATGCGGAAGCGGAAGTGAAAATATGCAGAACTTCCGGAAGCAAAGATCTGTTGCATTTTATTGAATCCCGTTTTCTATTAGAAAAGCGGTTCGCCAATTTGAAAATGTTCCCTCAGGTAAATTCGCTTGTAAATGCAAGGCCTTGCTACGAATCGGACTACTGGCGTGCACTAATAACCAATCGGAAATCGGCATTTTCGTCACGGCTTTAAACACAATGGAAGCTTTTAGGTCCCAAGAGATCGTGGCAACCGCTCGTGCTTTCCCCAATACTTGCTATCGCCAGACATACTTTCGTTCACGTTCGCTATAAAGCGGTACATGTGGAAATTGTGCTCTCCACCATACCAATCTTCTCACTATGCCTTTAGAACTTTTTTGCACTAGGTCGTCATTTTAAAATCATAAAGTGCATGCATCGGAGAAGGTAGGGGATGCCCGTGTTTGTTGGTCATGCGTCTACCGTTCGCGTTGCTCACGATTTCGTACTTTCAGATTTGGAGATGGGAGTGCTGTCGATTATCGGCATCGTGGTCGCCGTGCTGCTGCTGCTGGTCATCGTCTTCCTGGTGATCTTCGCGCGGGTGACGGGACGCTGGTGCTTCTCAGGTAGGTGTCAAACATAGCGCGCGTATTTATATCTTATCTGTCTGTCTGTGTCTAAATGTTGGCATCGCACGCGTGCGACTCCTTAATAATCGATTGCCTCTTGTTAACAAATAAAAGCTAATTCTTGAAGGCAAGTATGCGGTAAGTTGAGCATGTGTAGATATTGTGCATGACGAACCGTAGTCTGTATAGTAGTTTCGCTTACTCTTATTGTTTTTCGCTTCTCATCCTTGCCTTCCCCTTGAGAATGCAGAAATTAGCTTTTGTTTGTTTGTAGGAGGCGAACGTGTGATTGACTACTCGAGTGGCGCCGGATGCGAGACTAACGACGCTGGAAACGAGGGGCTCGGCGGCGGTGATGGTGTCGACAATCCGCACCATCAGACGTCGCAGGAGTACATTAACGGGAATAACATTGTGATTAAAGACGCCGAAAAAAAGATAGACACTGCGGTTTGAGAGACCTAAAGTTAACGTTTAGATCTATATAGTGAATGTTTTCAAATTCTCTCTGTGTGAATGATGACAAAATAAGGCTGACCAAGTGACGCATCAGACAGTTCTCGTTCCTATCGTTAGATTAGCGATGTCCGTTGCATGTTAGTGTGTTACCGATCTTGCCGACAGCGCAGCTCCAAAATTGCCATAGTTTATATATGGCCGATCGTAAAATCGTTTTAGTTTAAGGTTGCAGGTTAAGTACTTAAAATACTCGACATTCCAGTCCCGTTCGGTGATAAATTATATTTCCGTTTTATTTTTTTAATTCGCTCGTCGTTCGTTGTAGATTTAGTTAAATTAATACTCTCGGCAGCGCCCTCTAAGTTATTATAATTCGAACTTCTTTTATGAAATTAGGCTTTGCAAAAAACGACGTCGGTCGCTGTTATATTATAAAAGTTGTTTTATAAATAAAGAAGTTTATTAATACGTTCGTTTTTACTCGTAGGCTCTCATCGCGCCGGCGAAAGGTGAGTAATCGTCCACGAAACTTGGTCCCAAATAAGATGGTGAGAAGAACCAAAAAGAAGACGTCTAGGAAAAACGACCATTTCTGTAACGAAAGTCATTTCTTGTGGTATGTACAGTGTGTCCTCTTTTGGTTGAGACTGCACAGTATTTCAGATGTTTTTAAAGATAGAGACTTCCGTTTTTTGTGAAACCACTAACAGAATCAATCTAGCCACCTTTGCTTCTGAGATACCTAGTGGTATATCCACTACCCATGTAAGATGAGAACGTAGAATCCCGTGGCGCAGTAAAAAACCACCTTTCCCAGATTTGACCCAAAGTTGGGGAACACCCTGTAAGTCTCAGTGTCAATTCGCATTCTTTTTCCCGATTACATTAATATATCACAACCTATAGACGGATAGAAACTTTGCTTCAAGTAGTTTTAACATTCCTAAAGGAAACGACCTATGAGAATTATTTACATGGAACAGATTTTGTGCTGTATTTATATGAATCGAATCCAAATCAAGGATTTGCGGTGTTTTGGTCCATTGATTGGAGTGTTTCAGTTAATTTCAGTATTACCATTCCTTTGGTTGGATTAAAATTTTGTTTAGCATTCATGGGTGTGTGTGTTTTGTACTTGAGAATGTACCGGTAATTTATTATCTGGTAAAGATGAATTGCAAAGTTAGCATGGACACGTGAGTTTACATCAAGGAACGTTCTCCCAGGGGTAATATCCCCCAGCGCAAATAAATCTTTTGATAATTATAGAAATAGGAACGTTAGATCGTTCTTTTTTTCTGGGAGATATTCCAATACCCCCCAGAGCTTATAAATTTTATGCTAGTTATAGGAAAAGGAACGTTAAATCTTTTTTTTTCTTTGGGGGGGGGGGTGTATTACTCCAGGTGCTACATTCTCCCTCAAAACGTTCAGCGCTAAGGACTCTCGTCATCTAGGAGTGTGATTCACCTTATGATATTTTACATAGAATCCAGTAGCGTAATAAAAAAATATTTTTGGGCCACAGTTTCTGAGATTTGACCCCATATTGGAATTTTTTCAATGCAACACCCTGTATATTTTAACGTAAACTTTTGCGTTTTTTTTTCTTGATTACATTAGTGTATCATAACCTATTTTTTTTTCAATTTTACCCAAGAAAACCTTATTTTTTTACTGTTTTTAAATGGTAGGACATGGATTCATAGAGATTTTGTTTTGTTTACTGTTTTCATGGTAACTAAGACAGCCAATAACAATCAATGACGGTAAAAAATTTGAAAAATATGATATTAAATTGTATACAGAAAATATAGGTTGTGATACATCAATGTAATCAGGAAAAGAATGAAAAAAATTGACGTTAAGATTATACAGGGTGTTGCATTTAAAAATATCCAACTTTGAATCAAATCTCAGAAACAGAAGTCCAAACATTTTTTTAACTACGCCACTGGATCTACGTAAAAATATCTAAAATAGTCAATTTTTACATTTTTCTATCTACATGGGTAGTAACATAACATCCCAAAAGGTCAAACTTTTCGTTTTCACCCTGTATATCTCAAACATAGCTAGATCAATTAATGTTGTGGTACAAAAAGTCACAAAAAAAATGGCACAGAGTCGCGAAAACCGCAAGTTTCTAACTTTAAAAACAGCTGAGATTCACTGTAGTATCAACCAAAATAGGACACACTGTACTGTCAATAGGTTAAAAGGTTTTCTAGAGCCTTCTGGAATCATTCTGTACTTTTCCCAGTGTTAAGTGACCTTAGAAGGCCCTGGGAGCTCAAGCAAAATGTTCCAGCGCTTTATTTCCGTTTATACCTTTGTCTTTTCTGGTCCTTATTTACTGAGTATCTGAGAAAAATGTTTTCCGACTACCAGGCGAGTATAATGGGCTCCTTAACTCTTTATCTACCGGGTTAGCTAAAAAAGTTATCGGGCAAAACCTCAATTTTTTTAATGGAACACCCTGTATACAGGGCGATTCAAAATTGAGTGCAAAGATTTTAAGAGCAATTTACCGGCCAAAAATAAGAAATTTGGTTCATCTAATCGTATGTCCTAACTTGCTTCGTTTTCTAGATACAGGGTGTAAACAGTTTTTTAAAAAATTTTTATTTATTTTATCCCCACCAAAGGAAGGCCCTTATGACGACAAATAAGTCTACCCAAATTTATTTAAATCGGCTGAAAGGATTTTGAATAATTGATCAAAAACGAATTTTTTAAAAAAACACCCTGTATCTAGAAAACGAAGCAAGTTAGGACATACGATTCAAGTGATTCGAAAAATACCGGCGCATTTGAGCGCATGATAGAAGGTACGATGCAATGCAACAGATATTTTAAAAACGTTAAGTCCCCCCTCCCCACATTTTTAAAAATTTGTTGTCTCGGTTGCCATAGATACCGGTACCAACATGCGTTATGGGGGACGCCAACGTTATTATCGGTGGCGCATGTGAGCGCATAACGTGCGCATTAGTTTATAATAATCTAAGTATCCAATCTCTTGAGTGGGGGGGGGGGGCAACTTAACGTATTCGAATATAATCGATGAGCATGTATTTTTCTAAGCTCGAGAGGAATTTTCCAACAGCTCATATTTGCTTAAACTTCTATATCAGGAGAACGTGTTGTGTGTGAGGAGGTGTTTCTGCTTCTAATCCGGTGAGAATTTGTTAGCAAAGTGTCTGACACTTTTTCTGGACACCAGGAGAACATAATCAAGGAGAGGGTATTTTTTTAATCTCAAGATATATGTTCTAGTGCTCCATTTTCAATTAAATTTTTCTATCAGGAGTTTAAAATGTCTGAAGAGGTGTTTCTGCTCCTAATTCACTGAGTATCAGTTAAGAAAATTGTGTAAATTTTCTTTTCTCTGGTTATCAAGAGATCATTTTCTAAGCTTGGGATTTTCTTGAAATCCACAAGGAAGAGTGTTTAAAAAACTCCTGATTTTCATGTGAGCTTTTGTATTAGGAGAGTGCGTTGTGGAAAAGCTCTTTCTTGAAAAGTGTTCACTAGCTCTTTTCAGAGTCTCAAGTGTCTTCTAAAGGCTCCATAGACCCTTTTGAGCACTAGACAAACCGAGAAAATTAGACAAGGTTCTAGAAAGCTCACGCAGTGACCCAAAAAACTCCTGAAAAGGCTCTGGAAAACCTTCAAATGTGGTTGAAAACTCAAGTCATCGCATGTTCTGGGTAGATATTGTTTTTCTCGCCATTGTAGGTCCGATTTAATTAGAAATGACTCCCCTAACCTTGTCTTAGAGCGAATCACTTCAGTTCCAAGAAAATACAGAAGCGCTCTGGAACACATTTAAAAGGTGTCTGTTAGTTTGGACTAGAACAGATTCTTTACACTTAATCAAGGCAGGAAACTCCATTTTCATTTGTGGAAAATCTCACTTTGTAGTTTTATGTATTTTTATGTTTAAGTAGGCAACACATCATACATTTTAGCGTTGGTGAATAAGCTTGTGTACGATGTGTTGCCTAACCATGATTGATCTTAGTTGTCTATGGTATTCTTCATTCAACGCCCTCTGTTTGTAGCAGCGATACCGAAAGTGTCGACGTACGTCCCAAACGCAGTCGCCTCCTACCCAATCTCTCCTTTTCGTTTTTCAAAAAACCGAAGCCGGACGAACTCGAACGACCGCGAAGCGCCGAAACGATCGAGACGAAAGTTCCGCTCGAGGACGACGCGCGATCCGACGAGCCGAAGGAGGGCATCGTGTACGCCGAGCTCGATTTGGTGAACCCGAATCCGAAGCCGCTCGTCAAGAGTTACGACGACAAGACCGAGTACGCGGAAATCGTGTACACGCAAAAGGACGACGCGGCGCCGCCGCCGCAGGACACCAAAGAGGAGGGCAAACCGGCGCCCGGTTCGTAGATGCACAAAATCGAAAGAGAGCTTCATGCACAGACTGATTGACATATTTTTTTATAAAAAAAACCGACGATCTGAATAGAAATGTACATTTTTATTTTGTATATAATCGAAGTCTATATTAATAAATAAAACGAAAAGACGCCCTAATTTTTAATCCCCTGTCCGAATTCTAGCGTTTTCGTCGACTGAATCTCCGCCTGCATCTCCAAGGCGATCTTCCGGTACTTCTCGGCAAGCGCGACGTCCTTGACCACCCCTGCAAATTTTCTACAGTAAGCGCCGCGAGAAAAGTGCACTCACCGTCGCCTTTGCTGTACATTTGGCTCAGATTCGAGCAGCTGTAAATGTGGCCCAAGTTACAGCCGTGCTCCGCGTACTTGAACGCCTCCTCCATGTTCTTCTTCACCTCGTAGGCGTCGTCGCCGACTTTCTCGTGGTGTTTCACCTTGACGTCCGGTTTACGTACGCCCGATATGTACATGCCGGAAAGGTAGTAGCATGCGTTCGCGTTCTTCGCCGCGCACGCTTTCTCCAGCAGCTGCATCCCCTGTGAAGTAGCGTTTAGTCGATCCCGGAAGAGATCCGCTGTTCGCAGACCTTTAAAATGTCAATCGGTATGTCGGACGAATCGTGCTTCGTCACCTTCAACAGACCCTGATGCAGGCACGACTCGGGATGATCCAAATTACAACCCTGCTCGAAGTATCGGTACGCGTCGTGGTAGTTCTGCTTGCAGCCCTTACCGAGCAGGGAGTATGTGGCGTACTTGTAGCAGCTTCTCGGGTACTTGTACTCGTCGCAGTTGGTCTTGTACACTTTCGAAGCTTTCTTGTAGTCTTTGTCGATCGCCTCCAGGTAATCGCCTAGCAAATGGCAGACTGAAAGCAATTCGTACTGACTGAGCGAGTCGATGGGAGTGATTTCGGTGTGACGATACCTTCGGACCTTTTCTCGCTGTAGCATCCGAAACGATATTCGATGCCTAAATTTGTTATAAACTTCTTCACTTCGGCCTCGTCTTTGAAATTTATTGCCATAGCTGCGGTTTTTTAAAAATCTAGGGTTATGTAAGAGGTGTCTACGGTTCCGGCCGGCATAACCACTTGATTTTATAATCCAAAAGGGCGAATTTAGTTTTTAATAATTTTTTGGAAAAATCTTCAATAAATAGTTCTCTTTCCGGTGTAGTATTTTATTACTTATTAATTATTTTGTATTAGATTTATTTATTTGGAGTGGTAGTTCATTATATTCAGTAGTAGGTGTAATGAACTGAACCAAGCGTTGGTTGCTATATACACAATGTTTCGTAAATTATCGATCTTAAAATTCGAGTGTTTATTTCACAAGATTACGAAAGGGGTGTGTTTAAATTAGACGTAAGATAATAAATAACCAATGAAAATTTTGAAACATTTCCAATATTACGTAACTTTATAAATGCCATAGACAAGAATCTGAAAAGTTTTACCCTGTATATACAACCTATGACGATGCACATATTTTTGAGAGTTGGCAACCACGCAATTTTTAGGAGAGGAAAGCAATTTGCGCCATCTAGAAAGCACGAACGGGGGTTACGTTTAGCATTTTGTCTTGAATCGCAGTCATGTACGCGTCGCTCCTGTTGTTATTTTGTGTTATTTAATGCAGGTAGTAATTTTTGCATTTCTTTATATCGTATCTATGTTTTGTATGCCGCATTTTATATTTTTTGTGTGTGTTTCAATCCTTGTTTTTGAATTCACTTGGTTTACCCGCAATGCAAAATGACATGTTTAATACTGTTATCCTTTTGTTTGTAATCGTTTACGTTTTTGGTGTAATGCTTGCTTAATTTATGTTTATTGATGTTGATTACTTGGTCTTGTCCCTGAAGTAACATTCATAGTAGTTTTGATCATTTTATTTTAATATGTGGAAATTACCGATTCGTTTAATGTAGGTACTGACTTGTTGTTTGTTACTAACAATTTTCTCGGTGAATGAAGCAGTCACGGGGGTGGTAAAAACTGTAGTCTTCGACATTCAACTGAAGGCTCGAAACCCCGAAACCAGGGACGGGTTAGCTATCTTGCCGGAGCTGGATTATGCTAATCAAAGTTCTTCAGTTTAGAATCTATGTGCGATAAATGAGTTACGATTCGTAATTTCCACATATTTTGTTTTTAGTTAAATTTGCCTACAAGGCCATGTAATTTTCCATCTTGCTTTTAACAAAAGGACTTTATTGAACCAAAGATGAGGCACATCTTGTGTATTTCACCCTTTCTTAGAATCTTGGTACCAATGATGCCGGGCTTTTCTCTTTATAGGTTACTGGCAGCACCATGCATGCTTCTTTCAGAACCTACTTCGCGTTTGCCTGACCTTTAACTCCCCCTTTAGCTACTTTAGACTTGTTTAGAGAAGATTTAAGCTAGTGTGTTTGTACGTATGCGTATGAGTCGTTATTTCTTCTACGCATTTTCATAAAAATTCATAATTGCGGGTACCGTTTTCATTTGTGGGATGGTTCTCGAGATGAGGGAGAAGCCACCATGAGCAGGATCTGCGAGGAAGAGTCGTTTTCCCTGGCTGGGAAAAAAGCAAAATGGCGGTGACGCTGTTTGGTAGTAGCTGAACGCAACCAATCGCCAAAGAAGTAGAATTTGTGTAGTAATTTTTACGCTGTGCGGTTGGTACCAGGATTAAGTAACGTCACTTCTATTTATGGCGCCTTCGGGACGCTTTTTCCTGAAGAATTTTGTGGCGTTGAAATAGCAACAAAAGTAATAAATAAATAAAAGTAAGTGTAACACAAATGATCCTTATTCTTCTTTAATTGTGATCGAAACTCGCTTATTTAGTTAAAGATTTCCAATTCTAGGGCATCGTGCGAAAGCGGTTTGCCGCCTTCTTTCCCCCAGCAAATGCTAGTAGCCAGCCTAATATTCCAGCGCAAACCTTTCCTTTAAACCAAACCAAAATGGTTGACATCGAAAGTCTTTCCGATGAACAACTTCGTACCAAGCTCATCGAGCACGGTTTCCCGATTATGCCCATAACCGGTACGACTCGCAAGTTGATGCGGAAGAAGCTGAGGATTCTGATCGAGAGCAAAAATGACGGGCGAAGGTAAGCGTGAGATGCTCGGGACAAGGGGCCTAATCTCGGGTGCTTTTGCAGGTCATTGGGACGTTACTCGTCCGAAGAAGAGAGCGACGGCGACGTAAGCAGCACGAAGCGTTCGACACGACGTGCAACGATGGGCGCACCATCCGTTCGCTCGGTGAAACAGACCGAGCCGGAGGTTCGCAAGTCGACCACGCACACCACCACCACGACCACGAAACGTGTGCAGAAGACGTTCCAGGACGAATTCGATACGGGATCCGATTCGGAACCGGAAGTGATCGAGGTCGACACCTCGTTCTCGCCGATGTCCCAAATGAACTTTCAGCAGTCGACGACGAAATACTCGCGACCGCAGACCGTCACCTCCAGCTCGCACTTCTCCAACAGTTACTCGCCTTCTTTAGCCGACAGGCCGGTCTTGTCGAGCCGCTTCACCTCGCCGACCAGCGACGGCGCGCTCGACCGTCTCAATCAGATACGTTCCCGTCTAAGTTTGAGCGCGACCAGCTACGAGCAGCCGCCCGCCGCCGCCGAGGACGAAAAGGCCGAGACGCCGTTCTTGAGCAATTTCACCAAGCGACTGTCGCAGTTGTCGACCGTGCCCAAGCCGGAGTACGACTATAAAAATGACATTATCAAGGAGCACGATACGAACGGGGCCAGCGCGTACATCCGCAGCTTGCAGGGAAGGTGGGTAGATGTCAGCATTATATTTTATTTTAATTTTAAGAGGGTAGCTGTGATTGGTTAGATCCAAAGTCAGTATTACACTGAAAAATCAAACAAGTGACGAATTTTGATTTAGTAATTTCAGTTGGCAACTAAACTGTCAATCCTGGCCTGAAATCAAACAGCGCCACCTACTACCTTTCTATTGAACCTTTAAGGTCTAATGAATCTCTTCGTTTCAGACAGTCGCGCTATCGTGACGTCAATCCTTCCTACTACTCTTCGTCGAACGCGGGCGGTCAAAGAAATAATCTAATCTCAGTCGTTCTTCTCGCCGTGTTTTGTTTGTTTTTTGTTTGTGTTGCCGTTATGTATTATGGCATGCGTAATGATGGTGGTGTCGCCGTCGAACGACCCGGTAAGCTTTAGAGTCTCATTTTTGTGTAATTTGATCGTCAATAATTGTAGTTTTGTATTTCCGTTTATTAATAATCAATAAATATTTTGGAATTGACTCTCTCGCGTCTTTTATTTTACCTTTCAGTGTACTCCTCGCAGCCGAAATATTTATTGCTTATTAAGTTTTGTGTGTTTACGTTTCTAAAAGAAGTTTTTGGTCCTTGTAGGTTATTTTATACCGCGTTGCGGCGAAGGGGGCCCGGACGCCAAGCCCGGCCTCAATTGCATAAACGATTCGGATATCGACGACGCCGTCAATTTAATGCGCTTCATCAAGCCGGAACTGGTTAAGCGGGCCGTGAGTTATGGTTGTAAAGATGCAGTTGTTAAACCGTACCTAACCGAGGCCGAGGTGATCAATTTGCGGCATACCGTTGACGAGAATGACGTACGTATCCTCCCCTTTCGGAAGCTAGTCGGTGCACATAAAAATTCCTACTCAGTTTGTTCCCAAATTTTGGAGGCAGACACACCCCCCACAATATGGGGCTTAAATTCTGAATTTCTGTTTTTACATTTTGGCCTCCACATTCTGCAAAATTTATTGAACTTTCCATACTAGGAGGTGCGAGAATTATTTAAGTCGTCTTAAGTGTCCAGTTGTATCTTCCGGTCTACTGTACCAATCAAAATGTTGTTGAAGGGGCATTACGCAACTCAAAAGGCATACAACAAAATACCAAAGTGTTTCCTCCCAGTCATCTGGTTTCACAGAACCGGATTACAAGTTGAATAAAGTCTTTTTTGGAGGGGGGGAGGGGGTACCGATCGGGGACAGTTACGAAATTACAATACATTACAATTTATATTTGGCAATCTCTCTCTTCACACCAATATCGACAAGCTAAAGGTGTAAGGGTAGAAATACTGGTTTGAAACATTGGTCGTTTGCCATCAACTGATGATGTTGATTGAGGAGCTTTGGTATACATTGTGGACATTGGGACCTTAAGTGGCCAGGTTTGCCACACCTAAAGCAGATCATTTTGTTGTTGACGCTTTGTAACTGGCTATACACCTAACCTTTACAGCACTTAAAAACTTTAATATGACAATGTTCAATTTGACCCATGGCTAGCTCAATAATAAATTTAATACCAGAACAACTTCACCAAATATTTTACGCTCCCTATAAAACAAACAAAAACCCCCGACCCATCTCACAAGCCGATAACAAAAATCGCAATTGAGTTTTGAAGTTCCCTTCGTGCAAGTTCTTAAAATATAAGTACACATGCGACACCTGAAAGTCACATTCTCCATCTCCAATTGGTAATCTTACCTGCCGCGGAGTCTGGGTGAGGTCTTGCCTTAGGCAAGATTGAGGGGAGGGAGTGAAATTCAATTCAAAACGTTAAATCTAAATTCAATTCAAAGTTGCCCTCTCACTATCAAAAGAATAGCTCTAGGGACTTTGATTACAAGAAAGGAAAATTGAGCTATTGAAAACCTTCCAGGATATGTACTCAGTTTCTTCTTTTTTAATTTGCATTTCATCACAAGTAATTTGAATCGTTAGGGGGAGAGACTAGGAATGGTCAAAGTTGGGCATTGACTAGCTTCGTTTAGCGTTTTCTTGACAAATTTGTATTTTACCCGCACTTTCAGTACCCCTCCCTCGCGAAACAAATGGAAAATATGGAAGTGCTCGCTTTCCGAAACGCGGAATGGGGCATCTCGATGGTGCGCACGGACGCGGGCAACGACCTTTCCGAGGAGCACGTTTTCGAAGACATGGACTCCGTGGCGGTGTACAAGAGGACCCACACCGTCGGACTCGCCGTGCTGAATCCGGACCTGCCGCTGCGTTGCCGCGTTTATAACAAATTCTGCGCCCTCTTCAATTCGGCCCTCGTACTCTTCGGCACGTTTCTCACGTTGTACCTGCTCAACGCGGGCTATAAATACGCGAGACAGTACCACAAACAGACTAAGGACGAGGTATACGACATGGTTCGGCGTATCGTCGACGTGCTGGAATCGAACGGCGACGGCGGCGAGGACTTCTTGGTCATCAATCACGTCCGCGACATGATCTTACCGATCAAAAATCGCAAATGTAGGTTTCTCTCTTTTTGATACTTGTACTGCCCTCTACAATCGTTACAATTAAACGCAAAATGTAGAACTAGAGGGCAGCACAAGTATCAAAAAGTGGACGTATCAACTTTCCGTCTAAACCTCCCGCTTTTAGCAATGGAAAAGATCTGGAAGCAGGCGGTCAAGTTCATCAACGAGAACGAATCCCGCGTCCGTACCGAGGTGCAGGTCGTACAGGGGGAGCCGTTCGAGGTCTGGCGCTGGCTGGGCAATCCGAACCTGAACCTGAGCGCGTCGCCGCGCTCGAAAACCTGGCAGGGACAGGCCTTCGAGACGCAGGTCGGCTCCGTTAACAGTCTACCGTGCTCGCCGACACCGTGCCTCAAGGTGCGCGGGATGATGGACGACAGCAACGATCGTAATTCGCAGCTGATCCGCGAGGCGGTCCTCGCCAAGTGCGCCCATCAGTGCCGCATCCTCCACTGCGGCGTCGACAGCGTCTCCAAGTGCGTCTACTTAAAGTGCGCCGATCAGAACGACGCGGCGATCGCCTACCGAAACCTACACGGATGGTGGTACGTTACACTAACCCCCTCCCAATTTCTCCTTTCAGTCGAACTTTCGTAGGTATTCTGGACATCTCGTGACCGTAAAGTACTTGCGGCTCGAGAGGTACATGCAAAGATTTCCCGATGCGATGGTAAGCGGCCCCCCGTTTCTCAAGTCGCTCTCGCCGTCGACCGACTGGTCAAGCTAAACTGAACGCACTGTATAAACACGTTTATTTATTTTTTAAGATGTTGACTTCAAATTGGACATAGGCGTACTTTATTGTAAATTTTCATACGTTAGAGTTTTAGAGTAGTCCGAAGGTGGTGTAAGTTGCATTACGAGAATTCGCAGTTTAGTTATTTATAATGTTTTTTCCATTTGTTTGTAGTAAATGTAAACGATAACAAATTTATATCTTAAGGACTTTTCAAATAAACTAATTTTATTTTGTCATTCTGTAAAACTAACAATTAGGGAGATTTTTGCCCTAAGACCATAGCTATGGCTTTCTTTAGTATTTATGGTTACAATCTACGCATGCGCACATCTGATTTTTACACTGAAGAAATCAACTACCCTTTCCCGAAAATTACCATGACATTTATCATAAAATGATGTATGAATATTGCCATGACAAAAGATAGGGCATCTAACCACAACCATTATTGTATAACGTAACCTCAAATTATTTTGTTGTAATTTTAAAATTTTTGAATTATGTTGCAGGTGGAAAATGTGGATCACTATTTTAATAAGAAATTCTCATTTCGGCCCAACAGCAAGTGGTCATTACCGAGGGAAGCGTACAAGCATCCACCCGAACCCATCGAATCTTTACGGGACATGAAAGTCAGCCTAAACGCCTGCAAAGGACAGCTGAACCGATTCGCGTTAACGGAATGGTCGAATCACACAAAATTCACCGACCCCTCGAGTTCGATCATCGAAACGATATCGAGCACGTGCAAAGTGGAGCTTCTCACGCAGGCCTGGTGTAAGTTCTACGAGTGCCTGTACAATTATCCGATCGTTTCGCGTACGTCGATCGAAACTCGAACACTCAACAGTCTGCATCTGTGCGAGGCACCCGGCGCGTTTATCAGCGCCCTGAATTACTTTCTCTACGCGAAGCATCCGTGGATCAAGTGGCGATGGAGGGCGTCCACCCTAAATCCGTACTACGAGGGCAACAGTCTGGACGAGATGATCTACGACGACCGTCTAATTCGACGGACCCTGCCGAACTGGGAGTTCGGTCCGGACTTGACCGGCGACCTGCGAACGCTCCACAACCACGAGAGCGTGGTGGCGAGCTGCGAGGGGATTATGCTCGTTACGGCCGACGGCAGCACCGACTGTAGCGGGGATCCGGGCGAGCAGGAGCGGCACGTTCACTTCTTGCACTACTGCGAGGTGATGACCGCCCTGAAGGTGCTCGGCGTGCACGGTAACTTTGTGCTGAAGCTCTTCACGATGTTCGAACACGAAACGGTGTCCCTCATGTTTTTGCTCAACTGCCTGTTTTTAGGGGTGCACGTTTTTAAACCGTGCGCGTCGAAGAGCGGGAACTCGGAGGTGTACGTCGTATGTCTGGATTATCGGGGATACGATACCGTACCCGAGGTTCTTCGGAAGACTCTCATGCTGCCGTACGGCGACGGACACGGCGAAAGCGTCATGTTTCCCCTCGACGCCGTCAGTTGCGACTTTGTCCGCCAGGTGGAGGACTGCGCACGTTTATTCATGAACTGGCAGCGCGACCACATCAATTCGAACGTCGAAATGTTCCGTACCGAGGACGAGGACGTCCTGTGCCAAATTCGCAATCGGAAGGAATCCGTGGCCGGTGGCTACGTCCGCAAATTTCGAATACCGAAGGGAATTAACAAGCGAAGACGATTGATGAGAAGCGGCGCAAGTCGGTTCGTGCACGAGGAGGAGCCGTGCAGTGTGGCGCTTCCAGAGTTGACGATTAAGACAGGACGTGCGGTTTCGGTCGTTTATAAGTCAGAATTTGGACACGTCACTCCGAAGATCGGCGGGGACGACTTAATTTTTGCCGCGATCAAGTCGAACCTGCCGGATACGTATGCGAGCATTACAGGTGCTTGTTTTTCACCTGACGATCCGCAACACGTGATGCAACGTGAGTTTCTTTCGTTGGTTAGGAAATGCTTGGATTGCTCGTGCGACATCGTGATTTACGGGGTGGCACTACTGACGCGGTTTTTAGTAGGGGTGGTGTACATTTTGGCGTCCGGGTTCGAATCGTTTGTGACATACGAGAGTGGCGCGATTTTATTTAGTAAACGACGTGACAGTATCGACAGAATTAAGGGGTGCTTCGATGAGATTAGTCAAGTTTACGCCAGCCTAAAAGGGGACAAATTTCCAGTGGACATTCTAGAAGTTGTGGATAAAGGTATTTTGAAAAGGGGCCATTTTTACAAAGCCATTTCTGAGTATAATAAAGGGCTGTGTAGATGACGCATCTTTTCCTTCATTCTTTTAGATTTTTGCTTGCAGACTCGCAGATTTCTGATCTTCGAGTATGATGTGTTGCCTACCAACAGGCTACAAACTCATCGGGTGCCCTAATTTTAGCTATTTCCTTGAATCTAAGATTATGCAAATACGACTAAGTACATGAAGGACACCATTACAAGGTAAGTGTAACGGGACTATTCCTCTGCACTGCCGAAATGTAGCAAAATAAAGATAAAAATAAGTCGTTTTTTAATTTGAAAACTATCTGACATCTAACGTTTGTTTAATGAACCCGATCTTTTGACATCTGTCAGAAGTTTCAACAACTAATATAATTGGTACGTTGTGAGTCTGGCTTAATAACGCCAGATGTCAGGACGATATTTATTAACTAATAAACCGTAATTTATATTCAAAGGAATAAACAAAGGTTACATATCGTTTGATGTCCCGGATCTGGTCGTTTTGGATTCTAAAGGCCAAAATAAACAAACCGGACCAGCGGCAGAGGTCTGATAAAAGGAACTCGAGCCCCTAAATAGCCTGGTTTATAGGCAACACATCACACCCAATGATCGGAAATCTAATTTTCTACTGTTATTGGTAATTTCAAGCACGGGATTTGATAGAACATTCGACACTGGTACGATTTACAATTTTTATTCGAAGTTCGCACAAACAACACATTTTTTCACGCTTACAAACAATAGATATAACACTTTCGACCCATTTCACTACCGTTTTTATATCCGTAGTGATTCAACTCGAGGCACAGTCATTTAAAAAATAGCTTCGCACCATCAGCAGCTGCTGCAAACATGGAATCGCTTCGACTGTAACGTTTTTGAATTGCTTTTGAATGGATCTTCTGCAAGTTCTCCACCGTGTCCTCCTGTTTTGATTACAAGGCGTTTCCCCTTTCAGTTTGTGTTGTCGGAATGCAATGCTAACTATTCTCATACATCGAGAACTACCCGTCTTCCGATCGGACGACCCAGAGCGATCAGTCCCATTATTCACAGTTGCCGAATCTGTGCCACTTCCCTGACACTCCCAGTTGCCAGTTCCCGAATTTAAACCTGTAAGAGCGAAAGGAGCGATAATAAAGTTCAATTTTGATTTAAAAAAAATAAACATTTGTACATTTGAGGTTAATTCTTAATATATCTATGGTTAATTCCAGATAGCTCTGACATCTAACGCTGGTTAAATGAAGTAAAATACAAAAAGTGTGGCGCTATCTTTGGTAAATAGGTAATGGTAATAATAAAGTATTCTGCATATATCGATAAAATATTAGTCTTCAATAATAATGATAGATGTCAGCACACAGCTTTTTCCTTCATAGATATATAAATACATAGATACAGCCATACCCCAACATAGTTCAAAAGGACGTACCATCTATTACCATCACTTTCGGCACATTAATTACGTATAGCGCTATCCTTTATAGAGGTACCCTGAGCATGGAAGACAAGATTCGCATTATTTATTATAACTGTCAATCAAATTGTTAGCACAAATCACACAGAAAATTATCAGATTTGAGACTTTACAACATAAATAAACCGCCTTTTTATTTATTTAAATCGCATAGCAGCAAGAAATGTTACATTTAAAATGGAAGATGTTACTTATAAAGCTGGCAAATGAAGAATTTGAAAAAATTACAGCTGACAACTGGAAGAAAGTGTGTGAACATGTGGAAAGTGATTAATTTAAAAGAGAAGTTATATTGGTTGATGTTTCTGAACTTTATAATACCTAAGTGTTAATAATGACAGTGATGATTCGAATTTGTCAATTTCATCTGACGATGATTCGGATTGTGAGCTTTTACAAACGTAATGAATGTTCACTAAATGAGTATTATCACCAATTGGATATCATTGTTAAGGTGTTGTATTTATTTTAAATAAATGTACACGTGTAGCTTACTTACTACAATTAGCACTATAATTTCAAAAAGAAACCCCACCGAATGGACATATGCCGAAAGGTAGGCAAGACGCGTAGCGACCAAAATTTGATATTGCACGCACACACAGTCTAAAAACTCGTTTTCCTAAGAATATTGGACGGATCCTTCTTTGTGATCATGATACAAACGCACTGCATCAACATCATATAGGCCAAAATAATAATTGGAAACGAATTCACTTCCTGTCGCAACAATTTCCTTTACCATTACGCCTAAAACCATGCAATTAAAATTAAAATGTTGAACATAAACTTTACTTACTTACGGTTTTTTTGATATTCTGCAAGCCAGCAATGAATTCAATGCAGCACATCATGCCAAACAGGGTAAACATTATCCCAAATTTGAATGGCGTAGTTCGATGTAATAAAACTATTTCAGGAATAACAATTATGGACGCGTCTATCATTATGGCAAGCACTAATGTTATTCGTATTCAATTGATAACGCAATAATTACATAATATTTAGTGAAAAAACCGCCCATCATGTTTAGGGCGAATATTTTTAGTTAGATTGGATTTCGCGCTATCGTGAAATGTGTCAACTGTCACATGACTTATGGGACGCGCTAAGTTTGTTTTAAGCGTCCGATTCGCGTACGACATAGTGGTTAATGCAATAAAAAGAGATAGAACATGTTTCATCTTGGTTAGAAAGTAATGGAGAGATGTACAAATTTCTTTGATATGTTTTTTAAAAACCGAGGTACGTTTGTTAAGGATGGCTGTATCTAGGTATTTATATATCTATGTTTTCCTTTGATAATTTAATTATTCGCAAAGCTATAAACACTTTGGGTTTTGTGCCATCCCCCTAACAAAGGAGTCACAAAAACAACACTTCGTTCCTGTATTACAGCCCGATTATTATGTCATAAGGTATTTGGGTTGTCATGGAAAAGGCTGGATGAACGGGCGATCATTCTTTCAGATTTTATGAGGATTTTGAAAATGTATCTGTTCGCAAAACACAAGCTAAATTTCCATACGAGCATGCCGCTATAAATAAGAATTTGAAGTGGATATTCGTAGCAAGGACATTGGAGGGTAAAGTTTCATGCGAGTTAGGTTAGATCTTGTGAGTGAAAGTTAATTTCCCTGATGGTGAGGTTAGAGATTTCTTGTAAGTGAGGTTGGATGGCAAAATTTTCCTGTGGATCACCTCCTTGCACATTATATTCTCCTAATGCAAAATTTCTGAGCTAACCTAACTATCACCCTAACCTAACCTCGCTAATATTTTATCCTAACCTACAACCTCCTCGCATATTATGTTCTCCTGATACAAGATTTCTGAGCTAACCTAACTACCACTCTAACCTAATCTCACTAAAATTTTACTCTAACCGTCAATCACCTCCTCGCACATTATATTCTCCTGATACAGAATTGGCAAATTTTTAAATCGAATGAAAGCTTTGAAATAATTGACAGAGCTAGAAAAAGACCTCTTCGTATATTATGTTCTCCTAGTAGCACGACACCTTTTGCATTTGTTTGTCGACAAAGTAACAGGTGGGTATTAGGAAAGGAAACACCTCCTCGCACTCATATGATCCTGATACAGAATTGGCAAATTTTTAAATCGAATGAAAGCTTTGAAATAATTCTGACAGAGCTAGAAAAAGACCTCTTCGTATATTATGTTCTCCTAGTAGCACGACACCTTTTGCATTTGTTTGTCGACAAGTAACAGGTGGGTATTAGGAAAGAAACACCTCCTCGCACTCATATGATCCTGATACAGAATTGGCAAATTTTTAAATCGAATGAAAGCTTTGAAATAATTCTGACAGAGCTAGAAAAAGACCTCTTCGTATATTATGTTCTCCTAGTAGCACGACACCTTTTGCATTTGTTTGTCGACAAGTAACAGGTGGGTATTAGCAAAGGAAACACCTCCTCGCACTCATATGATCCTGATACAGAATTGGCAAATTTTTAAGTCAAATGAAAGCTTTGAAATAATTCTGACAGAGCTAGAAAAATACCTCTTCGTATATTATGTTCTCCTAGTAGCACGACACCTCTTGCATTTGTTTGTGGACAAGTAACAGGTGAGTATTAGGAAAGGAAATACCTCCTCGCACTCATATGATCCTGATACAGAAATGACAAATTTTTAAATCGAATGAAAGCTTTGAAATAATTCTGACAGAGCTAGAAAAAGACCTCTTCGTCTATTATGTTCTCCTAGTAGCACGACACCTTTTGCATAAGTTTGCCGACAAGTAACAGGTGTAGTATTAGAAAGGAAACACCTCCTCGAATTGGCAAATTTTTAAATCGAATGAAAGCTTTGAAATAACTCTGACAGAGCTAGAAAAAGACTTCTTCGTATATTATGTTCTCCTAGTAGCACGACACATTTTGCATTAGTTTTTCGACAAGTAACAGGTGTAGTATTAGGAAAGGAAACACCTCCTCGCACTCATATGATCCTGATACAGAATTGGCAAATTTTTAAATCGAATGAAAGCTTTGAAAGCTTTGAAATAATTCTGACAGAGCTAGAAAAAGACCTCTTCGTATATTATGTTCTCCTAGTAGCACGACACCTTTTGCATTAGTTTGTCGACGAGTAACAGGTGGGTATTAGGAAAGGAAGCACCTCCTCGCACTCATATGATCCTGATAAAGAATTGGCAAATCGAATGAAAGCTTTGAAATAATTCTGACAGAGCTAGAAAAAGACCTCTTCGTATATTATGTTCTCCTAGTAGCACGACACCTTTGCATAAGTTTATCGACAAGTAACAGGTGTAGTATTAGGAAAAGAAACACCTCCTCGCACTCATATGATCCGGATACAGAATGGCAAATTTTTAAATTGAATGAAAGCTTTGAAATAATTCTGACAGAGCTAGAAAAAGACCTCCTCGTATATTATGTTCTCCTAGTAGCACAACACCATTTACATAAGTTTGTCGACAAGTAACTGGTGTAGTATTGGGAAAAGAAACACCTCCTCGCACTCATATGATCCTGATACAGAATTGGCAAATTTTTAAATCAAATGAAAGCTTTGAAATAATTCTGACAGAGCTAGAAAAATACCTCTTCGTATATTATGTCCTCCTAGTAGCACGACACCTTTTGCATAAGTTTGTCGACAAGTAACAGGTGTAGTATTAGGAAAATATAAACCTCTTCGCACTCATATGATCCTGATACCGAATGGGCAAACTTTT